AGGACCTGGCCACGGAAGTTGCCCCGCTTTACCGGAGGCTGGCGCCACAGGCCTACCAGAATCAGGTACCCAAGAGAACCGCTTTTCTCCTCTGCTCTGCTGTCAGCCCTGCTCGCTCAGCAGGCTCTGACTTCTTATATGTTTGCAGCAAGAGATTCAGTCCCAGTCCTAGCTGGCAGCACTAATATTGTTTTGGCAAGAGACACGAGGCCCCCAGAAGATGGTTTGAAGCAGGGAGAAGTGATAATGAACTTGGGGATAATGTTGTTTGAAGCCCTGCTGAGAGCAGGAATTGGGGGTGGGGGGCATAGGGCTGAGGGCCCATCTTCCATGCCTCATTGGAGGCAGTCAGTCAGGCTAATGTAGCCCTCAGGCAGTTTTGTGCCCCCAAATGATTCTCTAGCATGCTGGCAAGCTGGGTGTCAGCCCCAAGAGGAGGTGGCCTGGGGGCATTTCATGGGGAGTGCAGGCTCCATCTGTACCACCCTTTTCTTGCTATGCTTGGGTGTCTGACGTGGCTATGGGGCTGGGCTCATTCTTGAGCTGACTCCCACCTGGAACTCCCCTTTCTTCCCCAGCATGGCCAGGAGGCAGGCAAGTGTCCCCCACCCTTGGCCCTGTAGGCTTCCCCCCCTCCCACAACCTCTACCAGATACCACAGCCTAATCAGTCCTAAGCCTTCGAAACTGGGGAAGCCAGCGGAAGTGTGGAACAAGAGTCCAGTCCTGCCAGGGGCTGAGTGCCTAGAGTCAAGAGCCAGTTGTGACCGAGGCTGGTCTTTGTAACCACAGCCAGAGCGCAGGATACTCAGAGCCAGATGGAAACCAGGCCAGGATTTGACTGCCAGGATACTGCAGCAGCACAGTCACTGTTCTCTGGGTGCGTTTTGACCTTGTCTCTTTGTAATCCTAGAGAAATCCAGCCTCTGTTTGGTCCGTGTCTTCCCAGATGGCTATGGGCCTGGGAGGCGCTGACTCAGGAGACCATGTAGCAAAACAGACCCAGGCTTAAGTTCTGATTCTTCTTTGTATTTGTGCTCTTTTACACCTTTCTGGCTTGAGAGCATGCATAAGTTAACAGCTGCTAGGAGACTCTAGAAGAGCAGTGGCTACGTTCAAGGCTGGGCCCACAAAGAGCCTGATATTCTTCTTAGAGGCCTAAGTGATGCCCTGTCCCACCCCGTCTAAGAGCCTGGAAAGCAGTTATCAGGTCCTCCTCCTCCCAGCTTCTTGTGACTTGGTTTTGAGGCTCAGGTGATGGAGTGATAGGCAAACGAGGTGGCGTTTATATGGCTGCAGATACTTGAGCAGGGGTGAATAGGAGCCCATGTAGGCCTCTGAGTGCATTTTGGGGTCTGCTAGATGGGGCAGGTAACCCTCCGGGAGCCCTATCAGGTATCTGGGGTGTCTGAAGTGCTGTCCTAGCCCTTTTGGGTAGGAGGCTTGCTGAGTAACTGGTACGCTGGTTACAGACAGGGCCCTGTAAGCACCCGTGTCATGGCAGCTGTGTCCATCCCTTCAGGTCACCAACGAGGATATAGCAATAGACTGTCGGCTTGGCCTGAAAGAAGGACGGCCCTTCTCTGGGGTAACGGCATGCATGGACTTCTGTGCTCACGCTCACAAAGATCAGCATAACCTCTACAACGGATGCACCGTGGTAAGGGACAACTTTGGTCTTGTCCTGTAGAAGGGAATGGGGAAGAAAGGGGGCAACACTGGTCTCTCTTAAGACTACCTCTGCCCTGCAGGTAAGGGGCAGCTTCATCAAAAGTATATAGCATGAATGGCTCCAATGGAAGCCCCTTCTGTGTCTGCCATGCAGTAATGTCTAATGGGGCTCTTACTGAAGGCTGCAGGGAGGCAGCATAAAATACCGAACACCCCCCACCCCAGACCGGGATCCGGTGTTCGGTTTCCAGTTCTGCTCTTGGTATCATTTGGGACCTTCACAGAAATCGCAGAGAAGTGGGGCTGGAAGGGTCCTCCAGAGGTCATCTTATCCAAGCCGCTTTCTGAGGCAAGATCAGTCCTGTCCAGCCCATCCCAGACACATCCATAATATCACCTCTTAGTACAATGACTGTCAACCCTGACAGCACAGGGAAAGCAGGGGGCCCACAGCAGCCAATGTTCTGCTTTTGTTAAAGGTTGTTAATAGATGCACAGCTAAAGGGCCATGGCCTCTCCTATGGAGGAAGGAAACCCCCCCCACAATCCGTACCTGTCTGACTATGGGCTTCTCTCCCTGCCTCAATTTCCCTATGTTGGGTAGGGACGCCAGTCTCCTGCAAAGCACTCAGAGACTTGTAGAAAGGAGCTGAGTAGGTTTTAGGGCTGGTTGCTGTTCAGAGAGCATGTGTAAGCTGCAGTAGGGTGTGTGTGTGTGGCTGAGACCCCCATCCAGTAGGAAGTGGACGGAGACCCCTCAAACCTCTGTCACCAGCACCTATGTGACATCCGTAATCTGTACTGACCTAGGCTGGGCAGGCAACTGACAGGCAGGAGGCCAAGTTGGATCATAAGGCAGACTGAGGCACCGACTGTGGCTTTGACTTGCCTTTAAAGAGGCCATGGGCCAGATCTGCCAGTGGTGAAAATTGGCCAAGATCCATTCATAGATTCATAGATTGCAGAGTTGGATCATCGTGTCTGACCCCCTGCCCCTGGCAGGAAAGAGGACCGAGGTCAGACGACCCCAGGCAGGTGACTATCAAGCCTCCTCTTGAAGACCTCCAAGTTAGGTGATAGTACTACCTCTCTCTGAAGCTCATTCCAGATTCTGGCCACCCTTACTGTAAAAAATGTCTTCCTAATGTCTAACTTAAATCTACTCTCCACTAGTTTGCAGCCATTATTCCTAGTTACTCCCTGGGGCGCTCTGGTAAATAGTGCATCACCAATTCCCTGTTGTCCTCCCTTGATATACTTATAGGCGGCTGCATGGTCTCCCCTCAGCCGTTTCTTGTGAAGGCTGAAGAGATCCAGATCTCTCAACCTCCCCCCGTAGGTTTCTTTCATGGAGGCCACTAATCATGAAGCAGGGCTGTTCAGACTCCAGCCTGCAGGCCAGATTCTGCCCAAGGAGTCATGTCATCCAGCCTGCAGGGCTTCCCATGCATCTGGAGATTCAGCACTGGGTGAGCAGCGGCAGGATTAACTGCTGCCCCTCTGACTTCAAAAGTACAGACCCGTGGCCTGGATATGTAATCATGTGTGCTAGATCAGGCTAGATCAACCATATGTGCTTGATTTTGTGGTGAGATCCAGGCACACAGGGTTGGGTTGGCATAGGGGGTCTCACCTGGAGACCAACCCCATGCACCTGCCCCCTGGGGATCTAGCCTGCTGGCCAAGCATGCAGGGGGCCAGAAGCTTGGTCATCTCTGCATTAAAGCCAGCAGAGCTCTGCTGATGCAGGGAGTGGAAGATGTGTTAGTCTGGATAGGCCCTGCTTAAATACTCTTCCCCTTACCATCTGCTCTGTGTCCCTGTGAGATACTGGCTACTGGGTTAGACCCCTTCTGTCCCATGGAGAGGAGCAAATTTAGCAGCCATCTTCTAGAAGCGAGGATAAGGAAAGCCCATGCTTATTCCAGATGTTCCCTTTCTGAGGAAGAAATGACCATGGTCTTTCCAGGGTTCTGCGACAGCTGAGGTAGCTGAGAGGCGGCCTGCTGGGTTTCCTCATCCCAGCCTCTCTCTGTGCTGTCCAGTATCCGGTAGGAGACAGAGCATCTGTTGTAAGATTGAACCAGCTGGAGGTGGGGAAGTGGTGGAGAGAATTCCTCTGGCCAGGAGGTACGGTGCAGTACAGGCCGTAGGCAGCCCTGAAAGTATCATGATGCCCTTTTATAAATCCCTGGTGCGTCCACACCTTGACTGCTGTGCCCAGTCCTGGTCCCCGCACCTCCAAAAGGAGGTAGAAGAACTAGAGAAGGGCAGCAAGGATAATGAGTGACATGGAGGGGCTTCCAGATGAGGAGAGACTAAAGAGGCCAGGCCCGTTCAGTTTAAAAGAGAGACACTTGAAGGGGGGGCATGGGGAGGGTTTATTCAATCCTAAATGGTGAAGAGAAAGTCACTAGGGACTGTCTCTCCCAGTATGAGAACTAGAGGTCACAAAATGAAACTAGCAGGTAATAAGTTTAAAACGAACACAAGGCAGTTCCATGGAAGCTGTCCGTTTAGCCAGATTCACAAGGGACCAGACACATTCTTGGAGGAAAGGGGCATGGGTAGCTATGGAGGATGGGAGTGAGGGGCACAGCCTAGGAATCAGAAATTCCTAGACCTGAAGTGCTGGAGGCTGCAAGTGAGAGCAGAACAAGGGGAAAACCCCTGATCAGACCCAGCTCACTCTCCCTTTCAGCTTCTGCTCTCTGCCACTGTGTGCTTCAGGAGACTGGGCTAGATGGACCTAAGGTCTGAGCAGTGCTTATGTCCTGACTTATGTCAGGCTTATGTTTATGTCCTGGCTTTCCTGGGACTCAATGTCAATGTCAATTATGTCAATGCTTATGTCCTGGCTTTCCTGGGAGTCACCTCTGACTTGCTGCTGGCTCCTGTTCACTCAGAGTCAGTGAGCCGGGTGGGGCCAAGGCGCCGATTCCACTACTGCAGGGGCAGGCCCAGACACTTGAGACAGGTGTGGGACCAGTGCATCTCTTCCCTCCTCTTCCATGAGCCCTCGCAGCCCATCTCTGGGGCCACATTGGTGCCATGTGGTCAAGGGTAGCCTTGTTCCATCCTGGAGCTGGCTGTGTTCCAGCAGTGGGGTTGAGCCATGCCTGGATCTAGACCATCTAGAGGCCTTGAGCTGCCTGGATGGAAGCAGCTGGTGAGGGAAATGAGGGTCTGGATGGCCTGCCTAGCTTTTCCCATGTGCCTGTGTGCCAGTGATTTCACGCGGAGCGTGCAGCCAGCGATGCTTGTAGGGTGTCCTTGTTCCCACTCTTCCTAGGGCTTACCAGCTGATGGATGACTCTTGCCTCTCGCCCTCCCTACCTCTTCCCCCGGCCGCAGGTGTGCACCCTAACAAAGGAAGACAATCGCATCGTTGGGAAGATCCCTGAGGATGAGCAGCTGCACGTGCTTCCGCTGTACAAGATGTCCACCACAGATGAGTTTGGCAGTGAGGAGAACCAGATCGCCAAGGTGGGCAGTGGCGCCATTCAGGTTCTCACTTCCTTCCCCCGCGAGGTGCGCAAGCTGCCTGAGCCCGCCAAGTCTTGCCGGCAACGGCAACTGGAAGCCAAGAAAGCGGCAGCAGAGAAGAAGAAGCTGCAGAAGGAGAAGCTGATCACGCCTGAGAAGATCAAGCAGGAAGTGCTTGAGCTCCCAGTGCTCCAGCAGAACACAGGTAAGGCAGCTGGTGGCAGGGCTGGCTGTGAGCCTGGCTGTGCGCCCCCCACCCACAATGTCATAATGTGGGTCAGTCGGCTCCCCCGGCTCTGCCTGTCAGGGGCATGGACAGTGAGCTGTCGCATTGGTGTCTCTCAGAGCGCGGTGCCTTGGCAGCATGTGACATAGGAGGCAAAAAGAAGGTGCTGGGTAACGTGGAGCCTCTGCAAGACATGCTAGGAAATCTGGTCGTCACACCAGATGACAAAGCTAACCTATTTAACAATTTCTTTGCCTCCATTTTCCTGAGCAGGGACTGGATCAGCCCATCTGCCAGGACCCCTTCAGGTCCCAGGGGAGGCACACCCAGGCCTAGGGTTGGTGAGGACCTAGTCAGGGAACTGCTGGAGGGACTGGACGTATTTAAATCACCTGGTCCTGATGATCTCCACCCCAGAGTGCTGAGAGAATTAGCAGAAGTCATTGCAGGACCCCTGGCACGGCTTTACAAGCACTCGTGGTGCTCTGGGGTGGTGCCAGATGACTGGAAAAGGGCCAGTGTGGTTCCCATTTTCAAAAAAGGGAGGAAGGAGGACCCAGGAAACTATAGGCCAGTCAGTCTTACTTCGGTCCTGGGTAAGCTTTTTGAGAGAATTATCCTGGCGCATGTCCACGAGGGGCCAGCAGGGGACGTTATGCTTAGGGGCAACCAACATGGGTTCATTAGTGGCAGGTCCTGTCAGACCAACCTGGTGGCCTTCTATGACCAGGTCACAAAATCCTTAGACGCAGGGGTAGCAGTGGACGTAGTCTTTCTGGACTTTAGGAAGGCCTTCGAGACGGTCTCTCACCCCATTCTCATTAAAAAACTAGGGGACTGTGGCGTCGACACCTACACAGTCAAATGGGTCGCTAACTGGCTGGAGGGCCGCACCCAGAGGGTGGTGGTGGATGGGTCATTTTCGACCTGGAGGGATGTGGGCAGTGGGGTCCCCCAGGGCTCGGTCCTCGGGGCCCATACTGTTCAACATCTTCATCAGCGACTTGGACGAGGGGGTAAAAAGCACCCTGTTCAAATTTGCTGATGACGCTAAGATGTGGGGAGAAGTGGGCATGCTAGTAGGGAGGAATAGGCTGCAATCGGACCTAGACAGGTTACAGGGGTGGGCGGATGAGAACAGGATGGGTTTCAACACTCACAAGTGGAAGGTGCTGCACCTGGGGAGGAAGAACCAGCAGCAGACCTACAGGCTGGGGAACTCCCTTCTCGTCAGTTCAGAGGCAGAAAAGGATCTTGCAGTCATTATTGATGCCAAAATGAACATGGGCTGGCAGTGTGGGGACGCGGTCAGGAAGGCCAACTGTTCCTTGTCATGCATCCACAGATGCATCATGAGCAGGTCCAAGGAGGATTGTCCTCCCCCTCTATGCGACACTGGTCAGGCCGCAGCTGGAGTACTGCGTCCAGTTCTGGGCACCGCACTTCAGGAGGGATGTGGACAACATGGAGCGGGTTCAGAGGAGGGCCACTCGCATAATCAGGGGCAGCAGGGTAGGCCCTACGAGGAGAGGCTAAGGGACCTGAACCTGTTCAGCCTCCACAAGAGAAGGCTGACGGGGGGACCTAGTGGCCATTTACAAACTGGCCAGGGGGGACCAGCAGGCATTGGGGGAGTCCCTGTTCCCCCGAGCACTACCAGGAGTGACAAGAAATAACGGTCACAAGCTGGCAGAGGGTAGATTCAGACTAGACATCAGGAGGCGCTACTTCACTGTCAGGACGGCTAGGATCTGGAACCAACTTCCAAGCGAAGTGGTGCTGGCTCCTACCCTGGGGGTCTTTAAGAGGAGGTTAGATGAACACCTTGCTGGGGTCGTTTGACCGCAGTACTTTTTCCTGTCATGGCAGGGGGTCGGACTTGACGATCTGCTTAAGTCTCTTCCGACCCTACCAACTATGAAACTATCAACTATGTTTGCTCCTCAGCCAGGCTCCTGGGTCCCGTGTGGCACGTGTCAGAAGTATTCTCAGTGGCAGGCAGATTCTGCCAGGCCCTTGAGCCTTTTCTTCCCTTCTCCCCTTCTCTTTCATGCGGTTCTTCTGTCACCCTCAGACCCGCTGCCCTTCCAGTAGCATTGAGCAGGCCCAGCACTGTTTGGGAAGGTGGGGGGTGGCTGTGCAAGCTGCTATCTCAGAAGCAGCTCATCCTGTGATCATCTGTGGGTGTATCGAGGTGGCTGATGTAAAGACCACCTGTCCTCCCCTTGCCCGCCCCACCACACATCTGCTCAGCTGTTGTGATGCTGTGTCATGTCCTTAGCCCATGTCTGTCAGCTCATTCACAGCTGTATTGATCCCTGAGACTCTGGCTAACACCAGGCATTGGGTTTAATCCAGTTGACTTGTGTTAAAACAAGTGCAAGACAGCCCTTTACCCACGTGTCCTGACTGGCAAGTAACTCAAATTCACCATGATTGTCCCCATGCAAAGCGGTAATTCAGGTACTTCACAGGTAGGTGATGTGGGATGCCAGGGTTGGCTGCCATAATTATGGAAATCTTAGAGAAGTGGGTTTGGAAGGAACCTCCAGAAGTTATTTAGTGCAAGCCCCTGCCTGAGGCAGGATCAGCCCTCTCCAAACCATCCCATACAATCTGGAATCTAACCTCCTTGTCAACCCTGTTGAACCCTGTCAGGCCCCAGCCACTCACCCCCTTGCTCTTTGTCCTGTGCCCACAGGTCTAGCGCTGAAGAGCAGTCTCCCCCAGCAGCCGATCAAACCTTCCCTGCAAGTGGATCCACAGCCACATTACAACACCTTCAAGTACAACGGCAACGCGGTGGTGGAGAGCTACTCGGTGCTGGGGAGCTGCCGGCCCTCAGACCCGTACAGCATGAACAGTGTTTACTCCTACCATTCCTACTATGCACAGCCAAATCTGCCTTCCATGAACGGGTTCCATTCCAAGTTCACACTCCCCTCCTTCAGGTACTACGGCTTCTCCAGCAGCCCCATGTTCCCCTCGCAGTTCCTTGGCTACGGTGCTGCCGAGCAGGCCAGCACCTGGGTGGGCGGCAGCTACGACAAGAAACCCGATGTCCAGGTGCTGCCGGAGAACCTGAGCCACACGTACCGGAGTGCAGACTTCCCCGAGCCCATGCCTCACGTTGTGCGCAGCAAGAGCCACCACCAGCGGACGTACGAGCGAGCCAACCGCTACACCTCCCAGAAGGCGGTGACAGCGCCCCACCGGACCCACCCAGTGGCAGAGGAAGCCCCACCGTTTGCCCCCAGTGCCACCTGCTTCAGCAGCCGGGCGATCAAGCAAGAACCTGTGGACTCCCTCTCCCATCTGGAGTCTGTGCAGAGCCCTGGGCTGAGCTTGTCAGGGGTCCCCCTGTCATCACAGAACGGCGTGCCGGACCGGCAGTGGAGCCCCTACCCAGCCCATAGGAACGGGTCTCCTTCTGACAGGACTAGTAACTCGGAGGGCTTGTGGAGCATGTATTCACCTGGTGATGGCCCCTCCTTACCTGGCGTGGGCACGCACGACAAGCTGAGCTCGCCCTTCGGCCCTCACGCCAATGCGGCCAGGCCACCCGCCGCGCCCATCCCTGAGAAGCCATGGAATTTGTTCCCGAGTGACGGCCCTGCCACTCAGCACGGTCCTGGCCCGGCGGGGAAAGCATGGAGTCCTTGCAAAGCCAACGAGAGCAGTCTGGGCTTGGGGGCTGCGGCTCTGCCGGAGAAGCCCTGGGCCCTCGGGCAACTAGGCTTCAGTGCTGCCCTCAAAGGCGGTGCCGGGTTTCCAGATGAGGCATGGCCCGGGGCCAAAGGGGAGGAGCGGCGGACACCTACACCCAGTGTGGGGCTGCATGAGAAGCTGTGGGAGCCCTTTGGCTCGCCAGCCCATGGGGCCCTGGGCTCCTGCCTGGAGAAGCCGCTGGAGGCCCTGAAGGCTGAGGGCGGCACGCATGTGACTGGCCTGGGTGCCCAGGAGAAGCCATGGGACCCCTTCAGTCTGGACGATAGTATGGAGGAGCTGCAGGAGAAGAGCGCGGAGGAGGAGGAGGAGGAGGAGTGGTCGGACAGCGAACACAACTTCCTGGACGAGAACATCGGGGGTGTGGCAGTGGCACCGGCCCACGGCTCCATCCTGATTGAGTGCGCACGGCGGGAGCTGCACGCAACCACACCGCTAAAGAAGCCCAACCGGTGCCACCCAACACGCATCTCCCTTGTGTTCTACCAACACAAGAACCTGAACCAGCCCAACCATGGCCTGGCCCTGTGGGAAGCCAAGATGAAGCAACTGGCGGAGCGGGCGCGGGCAAGGCAGGAGGAGGCAGCCCGCCTTGGTCTGCAGCAGGAAGCCAAGCCCTTCGGGAAGAAGCGTAAGTGGGGGGGCTCCCCGGCCATGGAGCCCCAACACAAGGAGAAGAAAGACTACATCCCCACTCGGCAGGCGGTGGCCATCCCGACAAACTCTGCTATCACTGTGTCCTCCTATGCCTATACGAAGGTAACTGGACCATACAGTCGCTGGATATGAAAGGAGTACAGCTCACATGGCCATCATACCTCAACGTCAGCGGCGCCAGAAGACGGCGCTGCTTTGTGGTGCTTTCCCCTTGTGCATGTGAGAGGGGGGAACAAACAGAAATCAGCTCAAGTGCAACCCTTTCGACAAGCTGCACTTCGAGAGGAGCTAACAAGAAAAAAAAAGAGAGAGCAAGCAAGAGATGTTGCTGTTCACCTTTTTCAGTAACCTACTATTTATATCTGCGTTTTTTTAATCTATCCTTGTACATCGCAAGAATGGAAAGAGAAGTTTATAGTGTCCTTTCGCAAAGGAGAGGTTTTTAATTCCATTTAAGATAATGTATTTATTGGATTTTTTTTAAGACAACAGTGAAGCCGCTCGTCAGAAATAAAGCAAACGCAAAAATGACCCAGAAAATCATGAACCAGCTTAAAGAAACAACAACAGAAAAACAAAACAAGCCCCGTGTACAGCTCGCTCACGGTAAGGCTGGCGGGAATCTCAGCTTGGAGGCCACCCAGAAAAGCGTGTCACAGCGTCCAGCGGGAATCCCACCGCCGAGTTCTCTTTCTTGTGGATGCTGAGACCCTTTGGGGCAGAGGCAAGGCTGAGAGGCGCACGGAGACCCCTTCCTGGCCCGGTAACGGCTTCCCCCTTGGACGCAAATGCTGGGGCTTCACATGCGCCATGCCTAACAGAGGCGCGTTCCAGTCGTGGCTCACATGGAGCTCCTGCATACGGGGATAGGGCCGGATTCTTGTGCCAGGGAACAGCCAGCTCATGGGTATGATTCGCCCTTGCACCAGCCCAGAAGCGTGACCCTCCGCTGGGGGGCGAATTTCACCCCAGGGTGGGGAGGAGAGGACAATCAGGCCTAGGGCCATCGCAGCGATGTAAGTGAAATCAGAAGAAGACCCGGCCTCAGCTCACGAGAGATTCTTTTACTTGAATACATTCTAACCCAGGTTGAAAGCAAGACCAAATGATCCAGGCCAGGTCGTCTTCACGCCGAGGGGTCGACTGGCGTTTTGGGGACCTGCCGCTGGCTCACAAGCGCTGGAGAGGACCATGGGGTTCTCATGCCTATGATGTCGGGAGCCTGTTGCCAGGTGACTTTGGGAACCAACCCCCCCATGGTCGGCGGCAGCCAGCGAGGGCCGAGATAAGGAGGGGGCTCCTGTCTCGTGAAGAACCCAGGAGAGACTGTGAATCGCGTGCGTTGCTCTGTGCCTGGCGCTGTCGCTGCATCTGGTGCTTTTGGTCTCTCGGGGACATACTGGGAGGAGGGAACAGCACACAGCCGCCTTCAGCCTGCGGCCTTCCATGGTGCATACGGCCGCCTCCCGAGGGCAGCCCCGCGGCGCGTCGACGCCTTCCCATGCAGCGACCGGCATCAGCGGTGCTTCTCGGCGCAGCGGTCCTTTTTTTCTGGTGCCATTTTTTTAATCGCGATCGTCATGACGACGACGGCAACATGCGTGGTGCTTTTCTAACAACCTGAACCGTGACTCTGGCTTCCTTCAGCTCCCTCCAGCAGGTGGAACTGTCGGGGGGCGGGGAGGGGAACGGCTTTGAATTCGAAACTGGCTATTGAGTGAGGCTGGGTGGAGAGGTCATTCCCTCTGGCTAGAGCCGAGTTGGCTCAGAGAGGCTGGGATTCCTGTGGTGAGAGCGGGAATCCCATGGAAGTGGCCCCCAGAGACGCAGGGTGAAAATCATCCCGTGCAGGGACTGCCCAGTGGCCGGGCATTTCTGGCCTCCCAGATCCCAGGTCCTTAGAGGTGCCGAGGGGGCCTGCTCCAATGGGAAGCGATGGGGCTTGGGCAGGTTGGGACCTCTACGGCATGAATCCGCCCTGTGATTTCATGGGAGCTTCCGGGATGCATGCCAGCGGAGGCCCCCAGTGTGGTCTCTGCATGCGGGTGGATTTCATTCTGCAGGGAAGTGGAGCCTGGAGAGAAATGATGACCGCCCCTCTCCCAGAAGTCGCTGGCAGCACTGACCTCGGCGGGAGCGGAACGGAGCCCCGTCGCTGCCGTTCCCTCGGGCCCAGATCACGGAAGCAGATGCCCGGTTCTTCACATGCGTGGTCCCGAGATCCCTGCAGCTGTTCCTGGGTGGTGGGAGGGCCAGTGGGTCAGAAGAGATGCGCAACTGGACAACAAGACTCAGTCATAATCCTGCACTCTCAGGTGCCTTTTGGAGAGACAGAGAGAGAGGAAGAGAAAGAGCGAGAGAGAGAGAGAGAGAGAGAGAGAGAGCTGAACATGTAACCGTGCATAACATTTTGTTTACTGTAAACCTTGTTTCTCGCGCACTGGCACAGAATAACAGGATCTCTGTAAAACATCCTGAACGTTCACGTGGTCTGATTTTAAACTGTAAATAGTGAAAGAATTTTTTAAAAGCACTTTCACCTAGATTTAAAAAAAAAAAAAGGAAAAAAAAACCCCAACAACTTGAAAGCAGTATGTTTTAAACAGATTATTGTGGGAGAACTGTAAATAGTGGCAAAATATTTAACAGGCTTTGTCCGTCCCTCATGATTATGGTTTTTTTTTTTGTTTTGGTTTTTTTACTGTATCCTGTAAAGATGCATATATTTGACAAGGAAAATCGATGAGCTATTATCGCTTTCTTATAAATACCCAATAGCATATCAGGATCATAGAGTAATTCCAAGTCAGAGTTATAGGAAAGTCTCTAAACTTCGCCGTTGGAGCAAACCCAAGCACTCAGGGAGCGGATGTTGGGTCGTATAAACCGGCCAGGGTCGTCGCCCGAGGTGCCGCCGGTTTATGCCAGCCGCGGATCCGGCTCTCGGTGTCGGGGGTCCCGTCGGGTGCCATCAGGGTGGGCGGGAGCTTTGTCGGCGACTCTGACGGGTGCCGGATCCAGCCTGTAGTGAGCATGCTAATTTTTATAGCTTTGAGGAAACGTTGGACCTGAATTTCTCACAAATGGCTCTTTTTCTTTGGTTTGCCAGCGTGGCTCGTCGTAGCCTCCGCACATCTCTGTGTCTCGTCTGACGACCGCGTCTTAGGTTGTTGCAGGGGTGCCTTGAAAGCTTTGCGTAGATGACTTTAGAGGGCAAGAAACTGGACTGTGGGTGGGGGAGAGGGAACGGCGTGCAGTTGAAGAATGTGATGGTCTGTGAATCCTGTCCGAGTCCTGCTTCTTTGTAGGTTCCTGTGTAGGAACATGTTGAGCAGCCCGCGCGTGCCCAAGACGCGTTGTGAATATTCCATTGCTTGGCCTTCATCCGCTCACTGGCAACAGCAAGGACATTAGTCAGTGGAAGGGGAGAAGCGGGTCGCAGTCTGGTCTCAGGTGCCCCCCTGGAGATCCAGGGTGATTTCACTGGAGGGAGCAGAACTCACTCTGGATTTACCCAGGTGGCACCGAGATCGGCCTCTGGATCCCACTGCTGACTCCATCATGCTGGTTGTCCAGGTGTGGAAGCCCTGCATTAGGAGTCAAGGGAAAAGTGGGGTCACAGTGCCACAGCAGGAGATCTGAATCTGGAGCAGATTCCCCCTTTGTAGAAGGGCAGAAGGAGCGAGAGTAGAACCCGGCCCGGCCTCCCCAGTTTCCCACAGACTCCAAATCAGGCTGTTGCGAGCAAAACGAAACCCTCCCAGGTCTCGCCATCCCAGTTGAAATGAGATTTGTTCTGAGAATGAGCCCCGTCACAGTCTCATGGTGTTTTGTACACTACATCTGTAACCTACCTCAAATCGCAGTCATTCAAAAATTAGCATGCTTCAGATGTGTAGTAACAGAGGATGAAAACTATGCACAGCTCTTTACCCCTTGCTGCTCAGAGTCTGTTGAAAACAAACTCTTTGTCTTGCATTTGATCCGCGCTGTCCCGCGTCCCCCATGCTGTGGCCACCGTGGCCGCTTCTAACCGTGAAAAAGCCATTGGGATCCAAGCATTAAAAGACCCCAAATTCCAAGACGATTTGACCCCAGGGGCAGACGTGTGCTTAGAGCCAGGGCATGAGATTACCGAGCATGATCCTCTGGTGCATCCCTAGACTTGAGTTGGTGTCACAACCCCAACACTTACCCTTGTTCTCCAGTTGACCTCTGCATTTATTATGCCCACTAGGTTGCTGAGACCAGGCCGGGGCAAAGCCAGAGCCATTTGAATTGCCCAGCCGGATTCTGCTTGGATTTTCCCTGAGCGATTCCCCATGGGCCAGTCCTCAGCCATCATGAAGCGGGCGACAGGGTCGTGTCAGCGGACACTTACCGAGGACTTGGCCTCTGGTCTTCCGTGGACTTCCGGCCAAGAGGAGGGTCAGGCTCGTGGCTCCTGTTATCACAGGCCAAGGAGCCGGCTCACAGTCCGCGCCTAGCTAAGTGCACCTCGTTTGGCGAAGCAGGGCCCGAGTGTGGGGGTGGGTCTTGGAGGCCAGAGATGAACACAGCCCGGCTGCCCTGCCATGCGTCACTTGGTTGGGAACTGGGAATCTGGGTGAGGGGGACGCTTCCAAGAGGGCAGCAGGACTTCTATTTATTTTCGGTGCAACGTTTGCAGCAGGTATAACCGATCCATGGTGCTAGAACCACAAACAAGTCTATAACCCTGGGGAAATCTTGACAAAGGGCGTGACCTTCCTCCTGTCAGTGTCACTCGCTGACGTCCACGGGAGGAGGTCTTGGGCCCACGCAGGTTGTTTTAATGGTCGCTTTCAGGCCGTCGGTCTCTTTCTCTGTCACGCTTTGCCTTGTTCCCAAGATGCAGCCGGGGGGGAGTAGAGCTCTCCCAACCGGTGCTTAATGCCTGCTGCTTAGAGCAGCTGGAGCTCTCGCACCCCCACGGGTACCGTCAGTGATGTGTGTGTCCCCGAATACAGGCCAGGCACACTAAAAGCAGACAGTGCCAGGACACCATGCTTGGGCCCATCAACTGTAGCCGATATGTGTCAGATGCTGGCCAGAGCAGATCACCCTGGTGCAAGAGGGCACGTCCACCACTGTAATCCCAGAAGCCCAAAGTGGTGCCGTTTCTTTTCGTGGGCTTCTGCATGGA